ATTAAATTAAAATAGTACGAAACAAAAAATCAAATTGGAACTAATAAATACAAATGATGTATTTTAAAATTAATGATAAATTGAAGGTTCAATATAATAATTCATTGTAAATTAATATTAATGATGTAAATTAAAATAATTCAAGTAGACCTATTCAAATGATACATGTCACATGTGTATTGATACCCAATAAAATTTGATGGACACCTCTAAATTTAACCAAAAATATATGAAAGGGATACAAAAATTCTGCAATTGAAACGTGTAATTAATTGATAATTAATAAATAAATGTGTTTATTGTAACACCCTTGTTCTACCCCACAAATATTACGGCAAAATAACACGGATTTCAGAGTAAAATATTAACTTTCATTAAAAAGCCATAAAAGGGTGTACATTTCTCAAAGTCAACAAAGTTGGTCAATACTCCGTAACACACAGGTTTTCTCAAAATACATCAAAACATCATATACAGCGGAACTCAAAACATAACTCAATGTTTTTCTCACAAAGGAACATCAGTAAAATAACCCAATGATATACAATCAACTCAAAGAACCCAACCAAAACATAATTCAATGTTTTCCTCATAAGGGAACATCAGTAAAATAACCCAATAATATACAATCAACTCAAAGAACTCAACCCGATGTTACATATCAGAGTAAGACCCTCTAAATTAACCATAAAGGCTAACGACTCTAAAACTTCAAAATACACGGCTAAACATGCTCATTTGCACGTTACCCACGTGGAGGTAACATTCAAACAGGCAGGGTGAGTAAGAAAATTCATAATAATCAATGTATGACAATTAATGCATAAACGTCGTCACATTCATATTCAACACATTCATATCCTTCAATAGGCCTCGAAGGCCACAACGTCATAATTTATACACAAAGGCTCATAAATGCAAATGCAACATAGACTCAATGCATGTGGTATCAATCATCACAGCGCGATGGACACTGGGCCATCAACCCTCCATAGATCCCCATCAATAGGATCGATTCTACTTGAGAACCGGAGCACATCAAAATACTTCACATCCACACAGTGGGATCGAAGCCAAAGTAATCGAGGTCCTGAACCGAAGTCTGGATGCACATGAATGCATGATGCACACGTCACAATAATCCTCATAATAACAACATATGGTGCATCATCATTCATCATATTCATCAAACGTCACAACTCATCCACATAGTCATCATCATCATATAAATCGTCATATTTCACATAACTCATCACAACAATCATTGTCATCACATAAATCATCATATCTCATGTTATCACATGATTCGTCATAATAATAATCATCATCACATAAATTTATAATATCTCATGTTATCACATGATTCGTCATAATAATAATCATCATCACCATTACATAAATTATAATATCTCATGTTATCACATGATTCGTCATAATAATAATCATCATCACTATCACATAAATCATAATATTCATCAAACATCATATCATCATAATTCATCTTAATAATTAATCTCACACATCATCTCATCATATAATCACGTACAAATCACATATTAGCTCATAGTCATATTATCACATATTGTCTCATATTAGTTCATAATACTACCCCATATTATCTCATATTAATTTATCAAATTATACTCGTGGTAATCCTCACACTATCGTCCATCAATCACATAAACTTCACAGTCCTACTCATGTTAATTCATCATATTATCACAGTTACCCCCATGGTAATTCATCAGGAAAATCGCAGCATCAAAACATCAAGACATCACTGAACCAGAACATGATTCGTCGTTACTAGAACATATACCCAATTGAATTCTCAAACATAATTAGATATAAAAATATTGGGACACCAATTCTCTTATCTATACTATGTTATAACCTTGTTTATTAGCTTTCCAACGCTTCGAACGGGGGTCCAAACGGCCTTACGGATCAAAAGTTACGTCCAAAACAATTTCGACCGAAAACATGAACAGTCGTGACGGACAGCAAAACGCTATTACGCTCCGGAACCTAAATCAACCAAAAAGTCCACACGATTCACTTCCACAATGCCTCCAAAATATCCCTAAATCATCCCTAAGGTCTTACGACGATAAAGACACAAAATCTATGGTTTATTAGGCCAATCTGGCAACATTTCCACTACCTAAAACACTATTTTCTTGCAATTGCTCTGAGTGCATCAGAGTTACTCACATTGAATATTCCTATCCTACAGGGTCAAACATATCACAATCCAAGGTTTTGGCCACGAAGGCCTAAGGTTTCCCTTTCTCATATCAATATTCAGTGTTACATACAATTACCCCTAACCTCAAAGCCTTATCATCAAATTCCCTATTTTCCCACAGCCAACCCAAAATACCTTAAATCATAAACCAACCATAAACACATCTAAAGGCATACATAGAAAATCATGAACAACGATACTCCCCATACCTTAGCCAATTTGCAGCTTTTACAATTAATCTTTGGGGACCTTCTGCCTCCAACCTTTCCTTCAGAGCTCTGGTCACCAAACTTTCACGTTAAACACAAAATGAAATCTAATTTCCTTTTAGAACTCAATTTTGTCTAACTTAGTCTTAGTCCCCACAAATTGGGCTTTTCCCTCTTTACCCTTACTAACTCTTCATAATGTCAAATTTACCCTTATTTCACTTATATTCATTTTAATCAATAATAATACTAATATTCTCATATAGTATACTATTAATTAAATAAATAGTTCAAAAATGCACATTTTCTCAATAATTCACAAAACCACCCAAAATACGAATATTCTCAATTAAATAATTAATTAAAATATTCCGCTTAAATTTGGGGTGTTACATTTATTATATTATATTACCATCTATTAAATCTAGCTCAAGGATTCCAAATTCTAAACAAAAATAATTATAATTACACTTTTCCTCTTTTGGAGCAACACCAATCAAGTTCTTCTCTCTTTTTGGCATAATTTTTATGTATGATTATTTTTCCTTCTATGCTTTTAGTTTTTTTTATTCAATATTAGAAATTTTTCTATGATGATATTTTTTTACATAATTTTAATTATCAGAATTCATATTTTATAAAATAGTAGTAGTAGTATGAGAAAATAAATTTAATTAGTGTAACAAAATGTATAGGTGTCATGTTAAGTGTCAGATTCAATAAAATATGCCTTAATATAAAGTGTAGGTGTTACATAAATTTCTAGTTATTTATCTTAAATCTAGTTTTTCGAAATATATTATTTCTATTATTTAGATCTTTGTCGGACATGCTGTTTTCATTTATTTCTTTGTTTTGTTCAGTGATGTTAAAAGTTTTCATAACAATTTTATTTTGTATGTAGGTTTTGTTTCTTAAATTCAATTATGAATTATTGTTGGTGATCATTATGTCATGTAGTTGTTGATTAAATATAATTTTTTCTTCTTTATTTTTGTTCGAATCATAAGTCAAAAATACTTCTCCAATACGTTTCATATAGCTTTGTCTTTATTTTAATTTCTCTACTAAGATTCACAAAGATTTTTGGTGGAAAAGTTAAAATAAAGACAAATTTACATGAAGTGTACCGAGGAAGCATTTTTGCCTTATGATTGAAACAAAAATGAAGAAGAAGGGGTTGTTTTTAGTAAGCAGCTACATGTCATAATGAATAAGACAACTGGATTTGAGCCACAACTTAAGAATGGATAGAAGTATGGAAAAAATAAAACACGTTGGGGAGAGGGTTGTGAGACACCGAGAACATGTTAAGTTTTGCCCTAAGAAAATACTTAATAAAGACAAGTGACGAATACCGATCATTAGAGATCAGAAATACTCTAAAATCTATTTGTAAAAAGGAATAAATGTCAAAATTAAGGTATACATACATAAAATCTAAAATATTTATTTTTGTCTCAAATTATCACTGATTTACACATCAAAATTTGCAAATACTATCTTCTAATGTCGAACAAAACTTCAACCACCCGTCAATCTATTAGAACTCACCATCATATAAATACAATCAAATTTGACATAAACTATTTCATATTCGAATCAAATCACATAAAATTAAAAAATGTTATTGTCTTTGATAACTTGGTATTAAACATTTTACATTACTAGATCAATTAGATAATTGCTGTATGATTAGTTTAAGAAGAAATTACAACTCTATTATTCATAACATAGTTGATTTTTCTAAATCTAATTTCTATAAACAATTTATACATTATAGATCGTTTAAATAATTGTATTATGATTACTCTTAAAAGAAATGACAATTCTATTGCTCATAAAATAATTGATTTTTCTAAATTTTTTAGAATTAGATTTTGTACGGTAGACTATTTATATATTATAAATCGTTTAAATAATTGCATTATAATTCCGGTTAGAGGAAATGGCAACTCCAATGTTCATAACATAATTAATTGTGGTAATTTGTTTATATATTTTAAATCGTTTAGATAATTACACTATGATTAGTGTTAGAAAAAATGACAACTCTATTGCGACAAAAGATAATATAAAATGATGTCTTTTTATATTAAAGAACAAAATTATTATTAAAAAAATGTCATATTAATCTATTTATAAATGCAAGGTAATACACTAAAAATGGTGTAAAGCCATTTTAAACAAAAGCAAAAATTTTTATAATCAATTTTAATGGTACAAGCTAGTTTTATGAAATAATATTATAACGCAATATGATAGTGAAATTTAATCTAATAAAAAATGTCAGACAAGTATATAATTAAATGTTAATATTTTTTTTATTGCATAGAAAACTAAGGACTAAAGAAGAATGCAATGGTGTATAAGTAAAATAGAGGGGTGTGATAACAAATTCTAGAAATGTATAAAACTGGGCCGGGCTTTTGCACCAGAATACCGAGGCCAAGGCCAAAGGACCAAATATTCAAAGCTGGTTTCTAATATCCAACACTATACCCTAACACTTGTTCAGCAATTTTCTTCTCATTGCTGTGAAAATGAAGCTAACAGAGTCATCGGAGGTAAAAATGCAATCTTTTTTGAGGTTAATCGAACTTTTTTACTGTTTTTTTCATGATTATTGCATCATTAAGTTGATTATTGAACTTTTTAGAGCAATGCTGATGCTGGAAATGATTTTCCCCTAAAATCCGATGATCATGAATCAGTTCCAGTTGAGGTTCAGGATCATGTAAAAGAGCTTCATGATGCTGGCACTGCGGTTCGTTTCTTTGTATTTTGTTCATTATTGTGTGTATAAGCATCAATTCATTCTTTTAAGGGTTCATATGTTTGAAGTTTTTTATTGATTGTTGTGCATGTAGGGTTCTTTGAAGGAAGGTGAGATTCAAGAAGAAAAAACTTTGGGTGTGTGTTCAAAAAATGTAGGAGAATTAGCTGAGGTAAAACAATTGTTTAAGGCCCCTCTTTGTTTTAAGATTAAAATTAAAACATAAGTGATTATGAGGTAAAATAGTTTAGAGATTATTTTTAGAAATTTTCATTTGAAGCAGGAACTGATTTGTGTTTGATTATAACAAGGAAAATCAAATTTCCCCCTTCTCATCTATTACACTTATTAACATCAGATTCTGTTAGTGAGGTACTAAACACTTCTCATTCTAATCCTAAAAATCATTTTTATTGATTCAGATTAATTTAAAAAGCTTAAAGAAACACAATTAAAATCATTAAACATGTTTGTGTAGTTAGAAATGTTTTTTTTATAAATAATTTGTAATAAACAACTCTGAAGTTTTCGATTGATTCTTATGTGTGCAGAATGGTTTAAAGGAAGGTGAAATTCCAGATGAAAAAACATTGGGCGTCAGTTCTGAAAATAGAACAGACTTAGTTGAGGTAAAACAATTGTAAATCTCAAATTATATTATGCCTAACTTAATCATATATGTACTCTTTACTTGTTATTTTCTTTGATTTTTTTTTTTTTAATTTTTAATTCCTCTTATATGTTTGTTTCTCTTTAGTATAGTCATTGCTATAATGTTACTGCCTTGATGCTTTTCTTGTCAGCTGATTACTGTATTTTAAGAATAAATTATGTGTTATTTGGTAATCTAGGTAAAATATAAGGCCCCTCATTTTATGTTTAATTCTAAAACCATTTATATGTTAGAAAAGAAATAGTTACCAGATGTACAGAATTGGGTTTTATTCTGCTAGTTTCAATTTAATTGAATTGGTAACTGTTGTGAGCCACATTCATTTCAATTTTGTGTAAAAAATTGGAATAGCAGAGGAATACTAGTATATTATTGTTTGTGTTCTGGCTCAGAAATCTCGATTCTCACAACTTGTTTGTAACAGACAATGTTTGTATTGTTCTAATTTAGTATTATGTTGAACCACCTTGTCACTCTACTTCTTAACTCGTGCTCCAACTACCAAGCCACCCGCAAATCCCCTGATTCTCACATATGCTTTTCTTCTGATTAGTAATTAAATTTCAATGTAGGTAACTCCCGAATCTGTGGTTTCTGATGCTAAATGGGTTCCCAATGGTGGATTATCTTCAAAGACTTCAGAATGGCCTTCCTTCAATTCTAATCCATATTCTTACCCTTATTCTCCCGTGGGGAACGAAGAAGCAATTGTTGCAGTTTTGCATTTGCAGCACAACGCAATTGATGTTTGTCAAAAGTTCTTAGCTCCTGAGGATGGTTCTGACAGTGATGAGGATGTAGTTAAAGATGAGGATGAGGATGAAAGTGAAGATGAGTTGGTAGAAAATTGTGATGAAGAATCTGAACATTATAAGTTCTTTGAAAAGGTGTTTGCTGAAGATGCTGGCTTGAAGAAATATTACGAGGACAATAGTAAAAAAGGAGACTTTTATTGTTTGGTTTGTGGTGGTATTAAGAAGAAAATGTGGAAGAGGTTTAAGGACTGTGTTGCACTGATTCAGCATTCAACTACTGTACTAAGGACGAAAAGGAAGCGAGCTCACCGGGCTTATGCACAAGTTGTCTGTAAAGTTGTTGGTTGGGACATGAATCAGATATCAGCAATTATGTTGAAGGATTTGGATTCCTCCTTAGCAGCTTCAAAGAAGCTTTTGGTGAACAATTATAATTCATAAATCTAAAATTTACATTACAAGTTTATCAATATCTTCATTATTGCTTATTAGATTGTGTTTATTTTCGCAGGCTGAACCTGAAAAACCAGTTCCTGTGAGTGGTGTTGATGATCAAAATGTAAGCATCATAAGCAAGAAGAATAATCATAATTGATATATCTATAATTTCTATTTCAAGTTTATAAATACCCCGTTATCGCTTATTAGTTTGGGTTGATTTTCACAGTCTGAACCTGAAAAACCTGCTGCTGTGAATGGTGCTGATGATCAAAGTGTAAGTATCATGGTGAGATAGGATAGTTGTATGTCGCATGTAATTTGAATGCTGCTGACTATAAGTTGTTTTTGCAGGGTAAAGTTGTTAATTCTGTTGATGACAATTAGGATGTTCTTAATGAATAGGTTTAAGTGTGGTTTGTAGAGAGACCATTGCTGTTCTTCACAAAATTGGAGAGCTTGTTGGTTTGTGACACAAGATCTTTGTCTAGGTAATTCCCCCTGCACTAACAAAGGGATGGTTTTGTAAATACCTGCATCTCAAACTTCTTGAATCTCAAAATATGATGCTTAAATTGCAAGTGGTTATTCTCATTTCCCCATGTTCCTTCTATAATTTTTCTTTCTCATAATGAAATTAAAGACTTCACTATTTAACTTTTTCTTTGACTCTAAAAATAAAACCTTTTACAAAATACTACACACTAGCAATTTCCTTATAAAAGATACCTCTATTTAATCTAACAATAAAAAATATACCTTTTACAAAAAAAAACTAGCAATTTCCTTATGAAATACACCTATCATCTTGCTTTTGAGAAAGTTCACTCTTAGTCCCTATTCTTTTTCAAAACTTAATATGGTTTTTATATCATCTTGCTTTTGAGAAAGTTCACTCTTAGTCCCTATTCTTTTTCAAAACTTAATATAGTTTTTATATCATCTTGCTTTTGAGAAAGTTCACTCTTAGTCCCTATTCTTTTTCAAAACTTAATATGGTTTTTATATTCCAATGAATTTTTTCAACTTCCTTCCTTCTCATCTGCAAATTGTAAAATTTCAACCCATAACTTATTACTAACTTTGAATCCATCGAACTTTCCGATCTCGTATGTCTGAAGTAGAGTAAATAATATTAATTAAAAGTTATAATTGAAAGAGTTTAATTGGTATATATGACATTGTAAAATTTTAGGACAGAGTATTATATGATTTAAAAAAAGTGAAATAAATATAACTGGTCTTATTTGATATTCTTAAAGTAATAGAAAAATGTCGTATTCAATTAATTGTTCTTCATAGAAAATTCTTTTATGAAAGTAAGAGTTCCTTGAAAAATAAAAGTTTTACTAATTTAAAGAGATTTTAAGATAGTGTACCTGTTTGTTTTAATTTTAAAAAAGTTAATTTCTATTTTGTATTTTTATAAATATTTTTTTAAAAAGTTTTTCTTTTTAATATTTTAAGTTTCTTTAAGTTTGTTTACTATATTATAAAAAAATTTAAATTTGTTTTTTTCAAATTTGAAAAATTAATTTTGACATTCTATAACATTAATATACATTATTGGATATTAAATCATAATTGAAATCATTTTTTTTTCTTCAGACAATTGTATCTCAAAGATGATTTTTTTAAAAAAATTTTATTAAATGAATATTTAAAATTTTGATATTCTATTTTTTAATAAAATAATAAAATATTTAAAATGATATTTTAAAAATAATTATTTAAACTAAATTTTTATTTGAAGTTTCTATTTTTAATATTCTTTAAAATATTATAAAAATCATCTAAGACTTTTTTTTGAAATAAACTAGCTCAATATTAGATTTATTAAAGTTGATTAAGTTTTTGTTTATACTTGAGACTATAATATATATGCATTTTGTTTTGTATATTTAACGCAGAAGGAGTAATTCCTTAACTAGATGGTTTGTGATATTTAAAAGTGTAATACTCTTGTTTATACCTTTTATTTTATTTTAGTTATATCTAACCAGTTAAAATTTAAGATAAAATTAAAGATAATCACAAATTTTATTTATTTTTAATTAATTTATTGTGAAGTGGTTCAATGCTTCATTTGATAAAAAAGAATACCCATTCTTTTGATTAAGTAGAAGACCATATACTATCTAATTGATTCTCTAAAATATTTGTTTTAAAGATGAAATTATTGTTTATTTCTGAGGCGCTCTAGGAGACTAGGGTCTAGGACCCAGATTATATACCAACCTCTTATTCTCATCTCTACTTATAATTATAAATATCATTAAAAATTCAAATCTCTATTTTCTTTATATTATCTCTAATTCTATTTAACTGTGAGAATAATTATATGATAAATCGGATAAATGAATTATTCATTGAATATAAAAATAATTTTTTTATATAAATAAAATCAGAAAATAATAATTTAAATTTTTATCCAAGCAAAACATGTTTTTCTTATCAAAGAAAGACCGGCTTAAGTGTGCATCTTAAACAAATCTTATAATCGAAGACTTTGAATACAAGTTTTAGATACAACCATTAAAAGAAAGAAGTAAAATTTAGAATTAAATTTTTAACTATTTTTAAAATAATTAAAAGAATAAAAAGTAAAGTTTTAAACTATTTTTGAAAAATTAAAAGAATAAAAAGCAAAGTAAGTGTACTAAAATTTATAATTGATATTGTAATCCTACGATAATAACCGCGCGTTTTATTATTGTAATAAAATATGAATAGATAAAAAAAAAATACAATTTTTACCTGACCGATGAGTATTATATCAAATTATATTAATAAAATAGTAGATTAATGAATTTTTATTTACAATGTACAATTAGCTTTAAACACAAGACTTTGAATTTTTAATCATGCTTATCACATGTATAATTGAAGAGAGTTTCTTAATCCTGATACTCTTAGACTCTTAGCGAAATTTATTTTATGCATCCTGTGTTTAGAGATATATATTTGGACACATTTTTTTTCTTTTTATGCTGGATGCTTTCGGAAATGTATCTACAGAAAAAGTTCCGGAATTCATCTCTAAAATCTTATCAGAACATATTTTATTTTAAAAAAAAATCAAATTTTATTGGTCGTAGATGAAAATTAACTGTTAAAAATAAATATAAAATGACTTATATCTGTAAATAAAATAACATGATATATATATATATATATATATATATATATATATATATATATATATATATATATATATATATATATATATATATATATATATATATATATATATATATATATATATATATATATATATATATATATATATATATATATATATATATATATATATATATATATATATATATATATATATATATATATATATATATATATAAAAGAAGTAATAAATGTCATCAAAAATATAGTACATAAAAAAAAACATCACAATCACTACTGTGTGTGTTTGACTGCCTCGTCTGCCTCTCCCGCCTTCTCGATCGTCCAGTCTATGTCCTCGGTCGTCGATCCCACCCGTCCTAACGCGATGTCTGCGGTACATAAGTGCTCATGCTGTTGCCACAATGATGTCATCCAATACACGCATGTGGTCAGACCCCTCAGGGAAGAAACCGACGACAATGTCTGCCTGCCCCATCTTCACTATCTCAAGACAGAACATCCTGAGTGTGGTCTAACTAAGACTACTGCTCCTCTAAGATCTCCTGATGAGCTGGTCTGGATGGTGATCCCTCAGTAGTGGGCACAATGTAGGGGTGTGATACGGTGAAGAACCACATGATGTAGCCATCAACGCAACTCCAGTTTGTCGACGCTCTGGTCGCCCTAGCCTCGTCAAGTACCATGTGCCTCTGGTAGTCGGCATAGATCTCATCTATCTGCATACGGGTCAAGCCGAGAGGAGCGGAGACAACTGAGTTTCTGGGAATGGTCTGAGTGTAATCGAACTGCCGCATGACGCACTTGGGAAAATACAGAATAGTGATGGTCAAACTGCATGCCAACCATCCTGAGAATAGGGAGATGTCGTCAAACGGGCGCGTCACACAGTGATCAACATAGACGTCGTACCGGATGTCCACAAGTAGTGTCATGCTCCCTTCTACAGTTCTGGTCTTCAACATACATCCCTCTCCCAGCCTTAAATATGTGTAAGCCAGGGTAGCCGCCCCCCAGTTGTACCCATGGATCCGTGTGGAATCTGAAAAGTACCTCAGGTAAGCGACATCCGTATATGTGGAGGAAGTGTCCACAAATAGCTAAGTGCTGACTAAAAATAGAAAATAACATCTTAGCACACACTATTTGTGTATCTTAACCTCAGCTGGATCATCATCTGCCTGGTGTGCAGCAACGATCGGCTCACCCAATCTACGGGTAAGAAAGGAGAACCTGACATGAGCACCTCTAGTCTTATCCACATCCTACAACGCATCCAATGGATCAGCCCCAAGCTCCTCAACGAACATCTCTCTCACATCCTCCTTTGTCATCATACCGTGAAGGAGGAGGGTACACCTAATTGGTATATGTAGCAGACATGAGATGTCGTCCAGTGTGATCATGAGCTCGCCGTGCGGTAGATGAAAGGAAGACGTCTCAGGGTGCCATCTCTCCGCAAAGCCCATCAGCATCCCATTGTGGATCACGCTGTAACCGATCTCACAAAGGTCCTTCAAACTAGAGGCGGCAAGGACATCCTAGAACCAGGCCTTCTGTGGCTGCTCCAAAGATAATATCTTCCGCCCGTGGTTATAGAACTTTTGCGGAAGACGAGTCTGAAAATTTCCATAAATAAGAAAAAATGTTAATAAGAAACAATGGTACAAATTATAAATTTCCAATGAAAAAAAAAGAAACAATATGAGTAATATTACCTCTCCATCCCAAACATGTCTGGCAGTATGGTCGACGTACCCTGTCAGCAGGGACATATCTGAGGGACCCCTAGGAAACCCTCAGGCTCATTATCTTCGTTGTCACCAGCATCCTCCAGTGGTGGGTCATCACCCTCTGGAGGTGGCACCAGATCAACATTAGGAGGAGAACCAGGAGTATCCCGACGAGGCCTGCGGGAGGACGGGGCCTGTGATGAACCCTCAAATGAATCCTGACGTCTCCGGGTTGAAGAAGTGGATGGTGGGGTGGGATACGAGATCGAGGGAATATCCTGGGCATGTGATGAAGAAAGATGTGTCTCAACTGTATCGGCCTCGGTAACGGTGGTCTGGCTCCGCTCGCGTCTCACAGACGCATGTTATGAAACCCGTCCAAGTCGCAATCTATCTTCTCTGTCTGCCATAATGTCTGCAAGGTATAACCAATAAAAAAGAATTAGATACAAATAAATTTAAAAAAAAGAAAAAAGATTAACATTTTTTTTTACTTCTGGATGTATACATGCG